ATAGACTGGCAAAATGGAATAAGAAGCAAAATCCAATAGTATGTTGTATTCAAGAAACACACCTAGTGCAAAAAGAAGCCCATAGCCTGAAAGTGAAAAGATAGAAAACAATTCTCCATGTGACAGGAGCCCAGAAAAAAACAGGGGTAGCAATCTTATTTGCAGACAAAGTAAATTTCAAACCAAAACTGAATCTAGTATTATTGATGTAGGACAGTACTGTATCATACCTCTATGAATGTAAAATATCTAGTACCTGCTTTATGATACATAGTAGGGACCGTGCTTTATCAGAGCTACATTTAATGATATTACTCTAGAATGTTCTCTTTCCAGATGATGATTAAGAGGCTAATAGAAAAAATGGTGCCAGGTACCACAACAGCAACAGAACTTTGCTGTTGTCTGGATATTATTCTTTTCTTTTTTTTTTTTTTTAATGGAATGTGCTGAATGTCTATAATTTTGTTCAGATGACTGCAGAACCTGGAAAAGCTGTTGCTGCTATCGATGCATAACATACTATTATTAGTATATATATATATATATATATACACACACACACACACACACACACACACACACACATATATAAATTGAATTTTGGGAAACTTTAACGGTGCTGCCAACTTTGGAAAAAGTCATCCCAATTTACTGTGTTGACTTGGCATTGTACAGAAATGGACAACCATATTGGTCTAGAAATGTTAATTTATTTTTATTTTTATTTTTTTCCATGTGTACAGGGGTAACACATCGTACTAAATATGTAAGGTCATATCTACATGGGTTTGATTACAGAAACTAATAAAGTATTCTCTAAATAATGAAAAAAAGAATAAGATAAGACTATAAGAGCGAGAAGCAATTTAAATATGTTCAGGGACCATTTTCATCTCCAGAATTAAGGATTATTTTGATGTTACATCATTGCCTTTTCTCTTTTACTTTCCTTTTTAGTTTTATTTTAGGATTCCCTATTTTGAATGTTCATACAGAGATTTCTTTAACTGAAATACCGAATACTTTCTTTGGTGTAAAAAACTACAATAGTACACAGGATCCTAATGAGATAATTAATAATGTGAAATAGGAAGTAAAGGGCTAAAGGTGTAAGGAAAGTGGGAAGGGTGAGGGAAAGGTAATAAGGGAGAGGAAAAAAATATGAGAAACTGAAAAAATGGAAATAAAGTGTTTGTAAATGGGGAGGGGAGGAGGGGGTGAAGGGAGGGCAGGGACAAGGGGAAAAATGAGAATCAAGACCTATTATGTAAAGGTACAGAATCCCAATGATGAATGTAATTGTATTGTATACCTAGATTGTACCAATAACCTCAATAAAAAGAAAAAAAAAGATATAAGGGTAAAAAAGAATGAAAGAAAAGAGATGGAAAAAGATATACCAAGAAAATATAAAAAAAAAGAAAGAAAGAAAATATCATCAGAAAATTGGTAGGTAAATTAGTATCAAATAAAGTAGATTCTAAGTCTAAAATGACCAATTACAAGAAAAGATGGCTATAACTTAATGAAATAAGGTATAAAAAAGTATAACCATGAAGTTATTACAATCACAAATCTGTATATGATTAATAATACTACCTCACAGCAAAAACTGAGTAATTAAAGCCAGGGATTTAACTCAGTGGTTCCAACCTTTTACCTTGCAAGCACAAGGTCCCGAGTTTGATCCCCAGCACAAATAAATATATATATAATACACAGTAATTACAGGAAGAGAAAGAAATACATAACCAGAATAAGGACTTTAATTATGAATAGAAAAAAATGAGGCAGGTCACCAATTACTAAGAAAATAAGAGACACGAACACTTTACATAGAAGTGAATTAATACACATAGATATATAAAGCGAAAGAAAAATTATATATGTTAATTATCCAATAAATAAAAAGCACTCATTCTGGGGCTGAGGGTATAGCACTCATAGGACATGCATAAAAACTAACCACATGTGACAGGTGGAACAAAGGTACTCTCGGCTAGGTGTGGTGGTGCATGCCTATAACAAGGCAGGAGGACTTCAAGGCTAAGCCCAGCCTGGAAAACAGTGAAACCTTGCTTCAAATTAAAAGTTATAATCAAAAAATGTTTAAAAAGAGAGAAAGAAAAAAGAGCTGGGATCTAGCTCAGTACAAAGACCCTGGGTGCAATCCCTAATAACAATGGAAAAAAAGTCTCAATACCAAAGAATTATCGTCATACATACCATAATCTTGGTACACAATACTTAACAAATACAGGAAGAGTGCATTTGGGAAACTAAAACCACATTACTAAATAATTCATGGATTTTTTTTTTTTTAAAAACTTACGATTTAGGCCAGAGATTTAGCTCAGTGGTGCTGCCACCTGCCTCATAAGGACAAGGACCCGAGTTCGATCCCCGGTACCAAAAAAAAAAAAAACCAAAAAACAAAACAAAGCACAAAAAACCTTACAATTTAAATTATAGACCATTTAATTATGCTACACATTCAATTTGAAAAGTTGGGAAAGGAAAAATGCCACAGTGGAAAAGAAAAGAAAAGAAATAAAAACAGCACTCAAAGGCAGTATATAGAAGAAAATAATAAAGTTAAATGCAGAAATAAAGATAGAAAACAAAGAGGAAAAAAGTAAAATAAAACCAAAAGACTACTCTAATAAGAGAAAAATCTAGCAACATGGGCCAAGTAAAACATGAAAGAAACTCAGATTAAAAATTATTATAAGTAACAAGTGGGACTATAATGACAGAAGCAGGGCAGTATGGACAAAAAAAATTCTACAGAAATACTATAAACTATTTTTGCCAGTAAATTTTTAAATTAGACCAACAATTTTATAGAATAAAACTGACTAAAATTAATTCAACAAGAAAAAAAACTAAGGAGACATAATATTAAAAAAATTAAATAAGTAATTTTAAATGTCCATAAAAAAAGCACAAGCCCAGATAGTTTCACAGCTGAGTTTTATGCAGGAATTGATAATCTTATTTTATACAAAATGTTTCATACACTAGAAAGGACACATTATAAATCTTCTTAAGATATTACTGTAACCTTGATATACAAATAGCACAAGGAAGAAAACCCACAAGGCCAATATAACTTTAATCAGAGATGTAAAAATTGAAAGTAAAAACTAGCAAAATATGAAGGCTGAAATGAGTCAAGATTTACATGCAGTACTAAGCTATGTCTCCCCATGGGTGTAAATTCTTAATTGGCACAAAACCACCATAATGG